AAAGAAAGTCACGGAAATTCTGTTATCTCAGAAGCTACTTTCATGCAATTTCTTGAATTGTTGGCTGCCTGTCGGGAGTTTTTACCATTAACTTTACTGTTTAGCTATTTAGGTTTTTCTGTGACATCATTGAACCGTTATCTCAAATTTTGCCAGTTTACAATGATTGTTTAACCGTGTATCACAAATCTCTGATTGATTGGTTGAAATCAGATGGTTACGAACAGCATGAGTTTACAGTTAATCCAAAAAATGGTCATAAGTTCTTATGGCATGCTTGTGAGAAAGTGTTTGAACAAATTAAGTGTATGAACATTTTTGAACATCAGATGAACACTGCTATGATTAAATATGCTTTGAAGAATGGAATCTATCATATGTCAAAATGTGGCGAAAATGTTGACTTTAGCTGGGCAGTAGATGTCAAAGTGGTTTGTGCGAGGTTAATGGTTGTGGAAGACATTGACGTGAATACCATTGGTCTGAATTGTTTGAAATCATTAAAGAACTACGAACTTTCTTGAGAAAAGATGTACTTGAGGAACAACTATTTCATTTGTTTACGACAATAAGATATAGTCAATGTAAATGATAAAAGCTTAATTTATTTACAAATTATTGCAAACAGAATTCATGGCAGTAACGAAAAAAGATTATTGGCAAGGGATTTATTGAAACAAGGAAAGTTTGTTTGGTTTGAGGATTTAGACACAACATATTTAACAAACCATCATCATTTGACTGTCCCCTTGCGTGCTAACGTTACATCTCTTTGTGTGTCGTCCAATAAAGAACTTCTTGCTGTAGGATATGAAAATGGTCAAATATCTATTTTTGAACTTCCTGAATTTACAGAAAGATGCACTCTAGGCACTGCACTCGATGATTCAAGGTTGGATAAGTGGGATGATGTAGTGAAAATTATGTCCCTGTATGACATCTATGACTATCCAACATTAATGACATTTGCTTTTGTACGTGGAAACATCTGTTGTTGCTCCTTTTCACCCACCGGAAATAGACTGGTAACCAGTAATGGATCTACTGAACTAAAGTTGTGGGACGTTAACAATGGACGTTTGTTATTATGTTTACAGTCAGATGATGTCGTTAATCGTTGCTCTTTCTCAGATTCTGGTTTGTTTATTACTGCAGACTATGTAAAACATTACAATGAACTTTCTAAAGAAGTGTTCACTGCATGGAATTCATTAACTTTGCAAAGAATCGATCGACGCTGCGTTGTTGATTACCAAAAACTACAATGCACCGATAAATATTCAGAGCTCTTTGCTGCAAATTTCGTCGAGACTTCGTATGTTTTTCAATTCCCAAAGGCAATCGATATTTTTTCCAAACCTTTACATTTAATGACAACACACCATTATCGTGATTGTATTTTTTATCATACAAACCAGAATGGAAAGCTTTCTGAAATCACTCAGTTGACAAAATGCAACGATCATAGAGAAATCATGTTTAATTTACCAAATGTTAGGTGTCCATGTGTTGATAGGACTCTTAACAAAGTCCATCCCATCTCGTTTAAAGAATTTTACGTTGTGCCGTATTTTTCCAAGCTTAAAATTTTCAAACGTGATCATCTTTGGAGACCTTCATTTATCTTTGAGAAATTTGAAATTAAATGTTGTTGTTTTTCACCGGATGGATCTTTTTGCTGCTTTCGCTGTTGGTGACCACGTCAACATTCATATTTGAGCATTGAACGTTGCACTATTATTCAAACTGTACCAATGCAACTGAAGAATGCATTAGGATGTTGGTGGTCAGATGGTTTACTGTGGATATGGGATGGTTCTGATCATCTTATGAAGATATCAACTTCGTCTGAAAATTTTGTAGATTCTACTCAAGCAAAGCATGTTAACATTGATTTAAACCTGAAGAAATCTTAACATTTGGTGATGTCTTAGTTTGTATTGACGAAAAGTTTGTTCAAGTTGTTAGAATTACCAAGGGTGAGATACAATACAACAAAAGACTTCCTGTCGATAGTTCAAAATTTAAAGCAGCAGCTGTATCACCTGATAATTCTGTTATTTTAACTGTAAACAAAACAGAATACACATTATGGAAATGGGAAATAACAACAATGAACTTTACTTGAAACCTTGGCATACTGCAGAAATACCCATAACGTCTTTTATTGAAAAATTTGTTCAGGAACGGATAACTATAACTTGTCGTAAAGTCAGTTGCTTTATAAGTGATAGTAACCAAGCGGTCATTGCATTGGCTTTGGGGCAATTTCGACGAGAGAACTGACATTTATGTAATTAATATGCATAAAACAATGACGTGAGTACGATTTCGCATAGTATCGATGTATTTATGGTCAAGCACAATCGTACATAAATCATTTTTCATTTGTGAATATCATGACACATTGGTTGCTGTAGATTTAAACAGTGGTAAAAGATGTGCTGAATTTTACTCATTAGGGTTCTTGTGATTTAATAGGACTGTACATTACAAACACAGGAACTTTAGCTTTTAGTAAATCGGTGGATATGGAATTAAATTTTAAAACTCAATGTACCTGAATGAAACCACTAACTCAACCTTTTTGTAGTTATTATATTATTAACTATCGTATTTACTAACATTACATATCACTCTTAAAACGAACATAAAAGTTCTTTATATCACAAAAGGACATATTTATGGTATCAACAACGAACTCAAAACTATTAGAAAAAATTGTCCATATCCTTTGTTTTAACTGCAGGAAAAGGTCAGTTTTAATTATGTAAAAATATCACGGACAGAGAAAGAGATTAGTTTTTATAATGTCGTAAAGATCCTTTTCATCTTATGATTCCCGTCAACTTTCAAATTTATATTGGAGAATTCAACACTGTAACATTGTCAAAGTTGTGATGAAATTGAGAATATCACACGAAGATGTTGATTGTCGTAAGGATGGTCGTTTGTTTTACATGTGAAAATTACCAAAAGTGAGAAACCTTTGATCTCTGAACGAACTTTTATGTTGATGGTTTACTTTTTAATACAAATGTATGGTTAGATAATTTGGTTATTTTATTATATATTTAACGTTCATT